CATACCATTGAGCCAACGTACAGCGTTCTTGTTTCGATATCAAAGCCTTGTTGTTGCTGCCACAGGTACCACCATCCAGCATGTTCAATCTATGATAAATGGAATGTGAGATAACAACCACTGCTTTTGCTTTCCTTGTCAGCCTACCCAAAAGAGGCAATGTGAAGACGTGTTGGGAACTCTCTTTGTGGACAGCTCGGGAATGAATACACGCGATGCACCTTTTAGATCTTGTATGAACGAGAGAATAGCAATCTACACGTGAAGTTTAGACCACGATGTCCAACTTTAATAATAAAAGAGCTGCAGCGATTGAACGTACATGTTGTATTGCAATGGAAGCTTGAGTCATGGGTAGATCGCGCGCGTACTAGGTGCAACTGGAAAGCGTCGTCATTGACCACCTGTTCACCCATCGACGCTATGCATTGAAGGCAGCAATGGCAGCTGTCAATGCGGTGTACTTTGTAAATGGAGGTAAGCTTACCTTTCTTTGTGAAGCGGGAGAGGAGAAGGGGAGGTTCTTTGTCTTCGCTCTCGTTGTTCTCAATTCGTGCACTCCACCCCACCCTGCCTGCTGCAGTTACTGCTGTGAATATGCACACCAGCAATATCCTATACATTTGGGTCAATAAGAATAACCACTACTCCTTGTAATCAAGCTATCCATAATCCCATTAATATGGCAGGGGACCGGCGTCAGTTACAGTAGGCCCGTGCGCATCAATGCAGCTTAAATCCTTTTATGCAGTTCAACCTCTTTCCCAACACCCAACGTGAGTGTATTATATGCATGCATCCATATGTGAGATATGTGCGTATAAACCATCACATTGATTATCTGCTTTATTAGATGTTGTATCCGCACCTTCACAAAAGGTAATCATCATCATCATGCATTTGTGCAGCAACCTATCAAGGACGTGTTTGTGTAACCACCACGTGCCATTTCACTCAGCTCTCCATCTTTCCGTTAATGCAGCCGACACCATCACTAGGAAAAAGCAACTTGATCACGCTTACAGCATAGGTAAAACATAAAGACGCCTGTATCTCCAAACTTTACAAGCAAACGTGGGCTCTTTAATAGATCAACGTGCTTGTCGGGGTCAAAGGAATCTTGTGTCAAAGTATGAAGTTCATCGTGGTTGGCGATCCCAGATTTCGCAATGTCGCTACCAGCCAAATTTGATCTGGGGGTCGACCTCTTCGACGACGACAACCAAAAAATATTTTTTGGGCTATTTACGACATTGAACGCGAAACTTTCACACAAGGTGCTGTTGGCCAAGCCGAGCACATTGCTCTATTCAAAACCCCACGTTTCATTGTAGAGTTTGGAGATACAGGCACCTTTATGTTTGTAAGCGTGATGCTATATGAGAAGTGGTCTTTGTTTAATGTAAAGTAGGTGGACCCTGACAGAGCAAAAGATGCAGAGGGTCGTGTTGTGTAACACAGCTACGTTTGTATGAATGGAAGGGTCAATGTATAATTACATTATGGATCGTCTAGGAACAGGCATGTTTGCTAGCTAACGGCCACTTTTATCCAATCATCATTGTTGCGAGATCCACTGCATGGGAACGATGCCCCTGCTCTAGACATTCGTTTCCATGATTAAAGTAAGTTGATCCGAGCTGATTTGACTAAGCTACGGTCAAAGAGAGATTACATCACTCTGGACATAAAGCACGCTCGATGTAGCTCAACCGATGTAATCTTGTGTGAGCGTAACTCAACCAAATCAGCTCGGATCAACCTACTTTAATCATGGAAATGAATGTCTGGAGCAGGAGCATCGTCCACCTACAATGGAATGCACAAAAGTTGGGAATGCACAAAAGTGGCTATCAGCTGCCAATGTATGACATAAAAGTGAGGGTTGCGTACCTTTCATGCATTGTCCCTGAAGTCCTGACTTTTTAGCTGAGTTACCCAAAGAGGTCCTTCTGCATCTTTGGCTCTCCAGGGTCTAGCTACTTGGCAATGAACAAAGACCACTTGTCATATAGCATCACGCTTACAAACATAGAGGTGCATGTATCTCAAGATTTCACAATGAAACGTGGGGTTTTTATTAGCGCAATAGGATCGGCCTGGCCAACAGCACCTTGTGTGAAAGTTTCACGATCAAGCTTGCCAATCCCAGATTTCGCCATGTCGCTACCAGCCAAACTGGATCTGGGGGTCGACCTCTTCGACGACGACGACCAAAAAATATCTTTTGGGCTGTTTGCGACATTGAACGCGAAACTTTCACACAAGGTGCTGTTGGCCAAGCCGAGCACATTGCTGTATTCAAAACCCCACGTTTCATTGTAAAGTTTGGAGATACAGGCGCCTTTATGTTTGTAAGCGTGATGCTATATGAAGAGTGGTCTTTGTTCATTGTCAAGTAGCTAGACCCTGACAGAGCAAAAGATGCAGAGGGGCCTCTTTGTGCAACACAGCTACTTTGCATGACTGGAAGGATTGATGGATTATACTTTATGGTCTATCCACAATAGTCCATATATTGCGCGCTATCAGCCATTTCCTCACAATCAGTGTTGTTGCGAGATCCACTGCATAGGAACGATTCTCCTGCTCCAGCCCATCATTTCCATCATTCGAGTTTCTTGATCCGAGCCGATTTGAGTGAGCTACGCTGGAACAGCAAACATGTCAATTCTTGAAAGACAGACCCTGCGAATGTCTTCGTCTTTCAAACTTTTGGACGCTCCCATTCCAGATTTTCAAATGAAGCATGAAGTTTTTATTAGAAAATTGTTGATCAGCATGCTCGGAGCACCCTTCTGACCAATTTTCAAGTTGGAGGTGGGCAACTTCGGGGCGGTGGGCCGTCCGCTCTTTTGTTCTCATCATCCATCATATGGACAGCCCCGCATTTTAAATCTTCACAATGAAATCTGCGACTTTTAAATGAATGAAGTTGATCAGCATGTTGCAGCGAACCTTCCGACAAAGTTTCAGGTTCGAAATGGGGAATCCCAAGGTAATGCATACTATTTCCGTAAATCATGAATCTGGCGCTGACATCCATTTCCGACTTACATAGTAAACCCACATTATACCCTCCCATTCCAAATTTTCAAATGGAACATGAGCTCTTTTTTAGATCAACGTGATCAGCATGTCCAAGAGCATCTTGTGTGAAAGTTTGAGGTTTGAGATGGGAAGTCTCAGTATCAACTTTGGATGTACAGTGTACATGCATTTATACATGAGGTGTCCGATCTAATGATTTCCACTTCTTTCACTCAACTTCTTTCCTCTTCCTCCTATTCTCATCTGTTGCCCCATTCAAGCATACAACTACCACCTGCGAACGATTACTCTGCTTCAACCCATCATGTCAATCCTACAACTATCGTGATCCGATTGTCTTTGACTGAATGGCAAGTCCATGGCGTGTACAGAGCTTTCTTGTCACTCTTCTACAACACACGCGTCTCTTGATACTACACACCCTCTTGCACATTCCTCTGCCACAATCAATCGTAACAGCATTCATTACAGCAGCTGCTCTTAGCAAGGGCTTACTCCATTGTCTCAAGTTACATGCAGCAACGTGTCTTGCAGCCCTTTTCACGTGGACAGCCGATAGCCATCATATAGAAGCAGCTTTATTTACGTGTAGCAACTTGTTTTCAATACATACGACTTCTTATGGATATGGATATGGATATCGTTTTGAGGATATGGGATGGAAGGAATCGGGTACATTGACAGAGTTGGATCTCTTGGCTCATTTAGTATGGATGATGCCATATCAGCCATCAAGCAATGCATGCATTCTTGACCTGGTTGAGCTGTGGTAGAAAATGACCAAGCCAGTGAATTATAACAGAGGGATGGAAAAGGAAATATACCTGCAGCGATGAGAGTAGCTCTTTCTTATCAAGTTTGCAATGGATGGATGCAATCAGGTACAGTAATGAGAGGACCTGGAATGTTGCTTTGGTGACTTGGCAAGTTGTCAGCAGGAAGGATGGGATCATGTCACGTGGGTACGGCTGAGGATGATGTGATGGATGGATGTGATGGCATTGACGAAAGGTGTTTATTGTACAGCCACGGATGAATTGAATTACTCGTATCAATGCATGAAGCAGCTATTTCGTAATCATGGATGAGTACGTTTATGGCGGCAGCAACCAAGAATACAATGAAACAATGACACCCGTGGACTCTATACGTGATTCACTCGTACCTGATTCAATTGGTGATGCTGATCCCTTACCATATCCACTTGATAAGCATCCACATCACCATGTCCTATCAATTCGACTTTTCGATTCACACTTTTCAACCAGCCAATGATCCTTGGAGACGTGGAACACAATAAGCCGTTGCGATGTAAAGAGTCTTGACAACAAATTCGTTGGCATGGATATCAACCCTCATCATGGTCGAGTACATGCATGGACAACTACCACGGCTGGGCTCTTTGTTATCAGAAAAGCAGAACCATCCTTGGTGAATGTACCCGACCCAATTTATCAATTGATGCATCATCCCCAATAAATATTTATCATTCTTCCCTCTTTTCACACGCCCACCAACATGCACAATAAAAGGATGTTGTCGTGCACCATCGCACTCTCACATATCTCTTTCCTCTATCATATCACTTTGATTGCTTACACCATCAAGCCAAGTTCATGTGGGTACCTCGATGTATGATCCTTGTTACTTGCAGCTAACCTTATGGATTAAAGCTGATCTTTGTGGTCATTCTCAGTCGTTTATTGTTTGCCTACTTTAATTGTCGTTGTATTGCGATATTGTATTCGTGTAATAAGGTAAAAGCCTAATGATCTTGCATGATGAATCACACACTCATATTCCTTTTATTAAAGCTACCTTCTCAAGCATGGCTTCGAGTCAGCGTGTCAGTGCACAGCGTCGTATCGATCCGTTAAAAGGCCTAATTCGCAAGAGTGTTGGCCATAAAGTGGACATGCTGTTCAAGAATACGGCTATGTAGAGTGCGGTGTCAGTAGTGATATGAGAGACACAAAAGCAATCAAGGAAGGAAACATCATCAAGCTACCAAAACTACTCAAGGATATGATGTGCTTGCTCGTAGAGTGCTCTCCGAATCAACAAGCCATGTGCGTACGGCTGGCTTTGTGATAAGTGGTAAGTGGCGAGTTTTGAAGTATCTATTTAATGCTGATTGCTGGATGATGGTGAGTATAGGTGACTCTCCCGAAGGCTAATAACAAGTTGTTTAACCAAATTGCCCACATTCGAATTCCCTGTATGCGAGGAAGTGTTTGTAAGACACATCACAAGCGGATAACCGTGGTGTGGCATATGAAGGCTATGGTGAAGGATACTTTACAAGGCGTACAAGACGACCAAAACAGTGATGAATATGACACATCATGCAGCATTCTTCTTTATCGTCACCAAAGGTATTACACTATACAACGATAACGACCGCTTCTCTACATACGCCATTGCTACCTATTCCTTTCTCTTATCACCCGTATTGAAGATGTATCATTTTGCCCCAGCTCTCCTCGTAGTATATGCATTATGTATCATCCATCCATGAACTAGAAAATGTTTATAAAATTCTTTAAAGAAAACTATGATATGAAACCGCTATCATTGACGTGTGCCATACACGTGCGTGTCGTATAACAAAAATGATTAAAGAATCGATCCAGGTATGAGCTGAGGGGTTGTGTATGTGCTCACGTGATTTCTTCTAGGCGGGGACAATATGGCGGGGAATTGCAATTGGTTGACGGAGGAGCAGTGGGAGGTGCCATAGCAGGTTGGTGCAGGCGGCTTTGAGAAGACCCTCTTTCCTAATCATGAAGGTAAAGTCAACATGTCAATAGGTGGAAATGGATAACAATGGGGGGAATGGATGGATGAATGAGTGAATGGATGGATGGATGATTGATTGAATAGAGGATGGATGAGAATTGATGGCTGATACAACCTTACTTGTTCTATAGCTCAACATTGCCAACCCAGCCACTGGCTGTCAGAAGCTTTTCGAAATCGACGATGAACGTCGCGTGTAAGCATCAGTTTCCAATCGCCATATTACAACCCATACGCATATACACACATATACACACACGACGTACCCTATTTCAGCATTATCAGTAAAACTGACGCATCCATTATCGTTATAGTCGTGTCTTTTATGACAAGCGCATGTCGCAGGAAGTTCCTGGTGACTCCATTGGCGATGAGTTCAAGGGCTATGTCTTCCGTATCACTGGTGGTAACGATAAGCAAGGTTTCCCTATGAAGCAAGGTGTTCTTTTGCCCCACCGTGTTCGCTTGTTGTTGAGCAAGGGCCACTCGTGCTACCGTCCTCGCCGTACTGGTGAGCGTAAGAGAAAGTCTGTTCGTGGCTGTATCGTTTCCAGCGATTTGTCTGTTCTTTCTCTTGTTGTTGTCAAGCAAGGTGAGCAAGACATTCCCGGCCTTACCGACAAGACCGTTCCCAAGCGTCTTGGTCCCAAGCGTGCTTCCAAGATCCGCAAGTTCTTCAACTTGAGCAAGGAGGATGATGTTCGCAAGTATGTCATTCGTCGTGAAGTTCAACCCAAGAACCCTGAAAAGAAGCCCTACACCAAGGCTCCCAAGATCCAACGTCTTGTCACTCCCGTCACCCTTCAACGTGAACGCCGCAGAAAGGCTCTTAAGCGTAGACGCAATGTTGCCGCCAAGGAAGCCGCTGCCGAGTACAAGCAACTTCTTGCTAAGCGTACCAAGCAAGCCAAGGAAGCCAAGCTTGAGCGTCGTCGCACCTCGTCCATGCAAAAGTCTAGCTCTGCTTAAATGCATTCGACCCACTCATATCTCAATTAAAAAAAGTATTCATCAAAAAGAAATAATGGATGGCAAATGGTGATAATGGTATTATCGAATAAGGAAGGGAATGGTTGGTGAGTGTCATTATCTCTAAGGGGGGTGGCTTTTTCATATGCTAGATGAGGCAACACCACAGAGATTAGATCTCTCTTTCTCTTTCTTTCTTTCCTCCGCTTTTTCTTATAGATAGTACATAGACATAGATACCATGGCAACCGCTCTTACAGCAAACGAGACCACTACTTCGCCTTCCTCTACTCGATCCAGCAAACCAGCTAAAAAGACCGAATGTCTCATTCCAGCATCACGATTCATATACAATGGTTCCGAATTCGAATACACTGTATACTCGCCTTCGACTCGTTTTATGCGTGAAATGGATACGGTGTTCCCTCAATTATCAGTTCGACAACGTAAAGAATTATTGGTGATACCAATCGTACAGCGTTGCAAGCATGATTTGGTTGGCTCAACACCAGAGATTGAAGAGGAAAGAGAATTCAAGTTGGAAAATGTAAGTAATCATTATACGAGTGATGATGATGATGACGACAATGGCATTGATAAACGGATCCAATGTTGTAGTTTATTGAATGGGGTGGTCGCATGATTGATCGGCTACATTCTTTGGGCATGTGGGCAGATTTGACGGATCCAGCATCTGGGTTTCCGGTAGGACTTTAATGACACCATTATTCTCTCCATCTATCCAGTTTTTCTCACGCGCACATTACATTACCAGCTTAGAAGCCCCCCTGGTCCATCACCCTATCCCGATGTTCAAGCAACCCATGCTTTGACCCATTATGATATCCAAAACGTTGGTTGTTGCCATATCATGCTTCATCCTGCATGGAAGAGTCACATTTACCCAGGCACCTTTTTCACCACTGCTCCCGCTGATATCTTTGTCAAAGTACTCAATGAACAACTCCTCCAGCAGCAATAAAAAATGTTGGTTGGGATATAAAAGATGCTTTTTCTTTGTAACAACAATCGTTGGATGTTTGGGTGTGTGTGTATATATAAATACTCTAACGCTTACAAAACCTTGGCCTCATTCTTCAACTTGTCAAGCAATTCATCCACATTTTCAACCTTACGACCACCTTGGCGCTTAGCAGGTTCCTCCACCTTCAAGGTTTGGAGACGAGGAGAGATGTCCACACCGAGATCTTCAGGAGTGATCTTGACAAGAGGCTTCTTCTTGGCCTTCATGATATTGGGAAGAGATGCATAACGAGGCTCGTTCAAACTATAAAGGTACCCGGAAATCATCAGCAACGATTGGCCCTGACATTATTTTTTTCCCACACCCATCACCATCATTCCCCTATCGCCCTTACCGCAAATCAGTGGTGATGATGGCCGGCATCTTTGTAGAAATGGTTTCGAGACCACCGTCAATCTCACGAGTGACCTTGAGTGATTGGGCTTCAATATCAACCTTGGAAGCAAAGGTAGTCTAATATATGTATACCTATCAGTATCCATGTCTCTTCCTTCCCACTCTATACGCTTTTTGTTACCTGGGGCCAATTCAATAAACCAGCAAGCATTTGACCGGTTTGGTTGCTATCATCATCGATGGCTTGTTTGCCGAGAATAAAGAGATCAGGCTTCTTTTCTTCCTTGTTGGCAAAGGCTTGAAGCAATTTGGCGACAGCGAGGGGTTGCAATGTGCTATCATCCTTGACTTCAACGTGCACAGCACGGTCAGCGCCCATAGCAAGAGCCGTACGCAAAGTTTCCTGTGCCTTGGCTGAACCACATGAAATAGCCACCACTTCAGTCTTTGGAGCTTTCTCCTTGATACGCACAGCCTCTTCAACAGCAATTTCATCAAAGGGGTTCATGCTATGCTTGACATTGCGGTCGACATCGGTCTTGGCTGGGTTCACGCGCACCTTGACAGCTATTCAATATACAGTTACAAATAACGTCTTGAAGCTCCATTGCCGAAGTTTACCAAAGTCAATGACACGCTTGACAGGAACGAAAATGCGCAAAGGTGAGGACATGTTGGAAAGAGAGAGCGAAAGAGAGATAAAAGTAAAGAGAAAAGAAGAGTGTAACAAGGTCAATCCTGCTTGAACCGAGAACGTCACGGCTGCCTTTCGTGAATCACATGGTTGCATCAGCTTCCCACGACCCTTCAACATTTGCCCTTGCACTAGTAAGCTTACAAAATAAACTTGTCGTTACCATGTATGTCGTGATTTAATGCTTATCCATATCACCATCCTTCAACAATGACATTGAGTACTCTATTAATCAATTTGGCCATATCATCAAATGATGCATGGGATGCTATATATATATGATGACAAGTACCTGATCGCAACCATCTCATTAGAGTTCCGACTTTCCCGATTACACATGTGTCTATCAGATCTCCTCTTCTCCACACATACATACATAGTCGTTTTATTATCTTTTGCTCTGTTGACAATAAAAAAAGTACATGTCTTGTTACGACGACGACTTGACCTTATCAATGAGCGATTGCACGACCGCTGGTTCAGCAAGAGTAGATGTATCACCAAGTTGATCAGATTCATTATTGACAATTTTGCGTAGAATGCGACGCATAATCTTGCCCGAGCGAGTTTTTGGAAGATCACCGACAATGTAGATACGTTTGGGTGTGGCAAAAGGACCGATGACTTTGCGTACTTGCAATACAAGTTCCTTATCAAGACCCTCAGCTACTTCCACATTGGGTTTGAGAGTGACAAAGGCATGAATACATTGGCCAGTCAAATCATCGTTTCCGCCAACCACCGCAGCTTCAGCAACTGCATTATGAAGGATCAGGGCCGATTCAATTTCAGCCGTTGATAATCGATGACCAGATACATTGATCACGTCTACATAAAAGTTGTTGTCAATGAGGAGGATTGTCTTTGAGGAGAAAAGCTATTATACTTACCATCCACACGACCACGGATCCAAATGTAGCCATCCTTGTCACGAGATGCGCCATCACCGGTAAAGTAGTAGCCCTTGTAAGGATACAAGTAGGTATCAAGGTATCGATGATGGTTATTGTAAACGGTACGAGCCATGGATGGCCAAGGTTGAGCAATGGCCAAGACACCCGTGACATCATTTTCTTCCAATTCTTTGCCAGAGACAGGATCAAGAATAACAGGCTTGATACCAAAGAAAGGCAAAGTAGCTGAACCTGGCTTTGTGGATGTAACACCAGGCAATGGAGTAACAATAATGGATCCCGTTTCAGTTTGCCAATAGGTGTCAACCACTGCGCATTGACCCTTGCCAACTTGTTCATTGTACCACTGCCAAGCTTCTGGGTTGATAGGTTCACCCACAGATCCAATTACTCTCAACGACGACAAGTCATGTTCCTGTAACCATTGATCACCAAGACGACGCAATGCGCGAATAGCCGTAGGTGCTGTATAAAATTGGGTGACCTTGTGTCGTGCAATGACTTGCCAAAATCGAGATGGATCAGGGTAAGTAGGTGTGGATTCGAACAACAAGGTGGTGGCACCATTGAGGAGTGGACCATAAACAATGTATGTATGGCCTGTGATCCAACCAATATCCGCCATACACGCGTGCACATCGCCTGCTTCGGCATGATAATCAAAAACGTATTTCACAGTAGCTGCAGCACCCACCAAATAACCGCCTGTGGTGTGAAGCACACCTTTGGGTGTGCCTGTGGATCCTGATGTGTAGAGCAAAAACATAGGATCTTCAGCATTCATGCTCTCAGGGGGACAATAGGGACGTGCTTTGGCTGTTTCTTCATGCCACCATTTATCACGACTTGCGGTCCATGGGATTTCTGATCCAGTACGTCGGCACACAAGCACATGTTGTACACAAGGAGACTCATTGACAGCCGTATCCACAATGCGCTTGGTGGCAATGTTTTTACCACCACGTCGACCTTCATCAGCTGTAAGGACCACACGTGCACCACAATCAAGAATACGATCACGTAACGAATCAGAGGAGAAACCAGCAAACACCACAGAGTGCAAAGCACCAATACGAGTACACGCAAGCATGGCATACACAGCTTCTGGAATCATAGGCATGTAAATGCACACATTGTCTCCCTTGCGTACACCCAAGGATTTGAGTACATTGGCCACACGCGACACGTGCTGCAACAGTTGTTGGTACGTGATCTTGACGACATTGTCAGGTTCATCCCCTTCATGGATAATAGCCACCTAAGTAGTAGTAAACGTTGTTATGTCCCATGTTGGTTTTGTGTGTGATCCTCTTTACTTACCTTATCAGGGTTTACAAGTGCATGTCGGTCAATGCAATTATAGCTTGCATTCAATTCACCGTCGGGAAACCATGCCACGTCACCTTCATGGAAACCACCACTACGCACCTTGGTGAAGGGCTTGGACCATGTCAACAAGTCTTGTGCCAACTAAGATGAATACCATTAGAGCCCATTTAGGATTTTTAAAGTAATGAGTACCTGCCTTGGAAAAAAAGGTATCAGGATCATTCACGCTTTCCTCCCACATTTTCTTGTATTGATCCATGCCGACTACATGTGGAGTGGGGCAACTACCACCAGCCAACAAGCGAGAAGGTACTGGATAAACAGCTTCACCGCTCTTGCTGTCGTCTTGGATGGTCATGATGTAGAAAAGAAAAAGAAAAAGAGATACGAATCAAAAAAATCCCAACGTGATTAGCTTTTTAAAGCTTATCGACTGTAACTTGCATTACAGGGTTTTTTTTATCTTGTATCACCGCTTGTCAATTGATAAAGATGCTTTTTACTTTTCCTTCGTGTCATTTCAACTATACCCTGGTGCTCTTTGTCTATGGTGTGTGATATGATAAAGTCCATGATCATGGTCGTATAGTGTTGTAGTAGTAATAATATGCTTGAGTTAGCCCTACTACGCCAATCCGCCGGATGGATGCGTGTGTACGTGCATGGGCACCTGTACCTTGCGTCTAATCTGCAAAAAGGGAAAAAGCAAGTAGGCAGCACATGACCCCCCTTATCACACGACGACGGCAGTGTGTGGATGAACCCCATCATGCGGTTTCACCTCCTTCCGAAAATAAAAGTTGCCCATTATTATCATCATCTGCTCCATAAGCTTGTATTTTGTACGACCCCTTCTCTCTCTCGTTATGAATAATAATGAAACCAGCTCATTATGTACATGTGTGTGTGTATGTGTATGTGTATGTAACAGCAACATGGTTTCTTTGTTTAGCCTCTTTTTGCTTAAATGTGCATGTCGAGCACACACTCTCCTCCTTTATTTCCAAAACACAAAGGCAAGCCAATCCTTACATATAGACAAGATCCTGGGTCCTGTATGTACTTACTCCTCCTCATCCACCACCACCACCTCCTCCTCCACATGTATAATAATAAAACGCCCATCATACAAACAATCATGTCCGTTTGATTCGTACCCCTTGTTGTTGTTCCAAAGCCGATCATAAAAAGAAATTGTATGTACAAAATCATCATTCATTGATCATCCAAAGCTATATAGATTTGGAAGGGTGAGAGAGAGAGAGAGAAAGAAGAAGACTAATGGTGATGCTGAAGAAAGAAAGAGAGAGTCATGGATGGTATAGGTTGGTTTTACAGCTCGCCACCAGTGCCAGGGGTTGTTGTTGCTGTGGTGGTTGACCTTGCAGCCAACTTTGAGAGAACGAGGTAAATAAAGACCACAAGGATCAACGCCCATCGACGCCATTGACTAACAGTTCTGGCTATTGCCGTTTGTTGCTGTGGATGTTGTTGATGATGATGTTGTTGTTGTGTTGTAGTAGTACCAGGAGATTGTTGTTGTTGAGATGGCTTGGGACGCACTATCCTTTGCGTAGTGGATGGCTTCGTTGGTGCATTGGGTAAAGGTGCCAACTCGAGTGTACACAATTCAGGAAACACCTCTTTTAAATAGGATCATCATCATCATCAGCCATCTCTCTCTTTCTTTTCGCCTTGGTCCTTTTCCCACTCTTTACCTTTGAACTTTGCATTCTTTAGATTGATTCGGTGTGATCGTGCTGCAAAGACACGCTTCTCTGCATCTGTGGTTTTGATACTTCCGGTAGTCGTCTCATCGGTAGTCTATTTCAATGTCACCGAGTTAAAATAGATGAAAGCACACACATGTGAAATAGATGATAAAATAAAAAACCACCTACCATGAAACTCAATAGACCATTCAAAATAGTGGCAACCGACCAGCTAGGATTCCATAAACTAGGATGAAAGTCGCTCATAGTCAAACAAAGACGTGTGTCGGGTTGGAAGCGTCCAGAAGGGGTCGTCATGCGAATGGCAGGCGGCTTGAATGGATACTCAGATGGGAACGTCAATCGTCCATAGTATTCACCGCCTTCATAAGGTGTATCAGGTGGACCACGAATCACATAATGCCTATAGAGATGCAGTAGGTATGTCTTTGTCAAGAGGTGTTTGCTTAGTAAAGTAGGGCTTCTTTTCCTTACCATTCCAAAATGTTACTCTCCAATGGTTTGGCGACGATGAAAGGTGGAGGACTAGCTCAAAATGTAAGCTTGGATTCTATGCTTGAAAGAGTGAATAAACCTACTTCTTCTCAATCTCCATGTATTCCTTTGTCAATCGCTTAAATGCGGACTTGGTTGCCATGATGTGTGAGCTACAAAGTGAAAAGCCTGTTGCACTTGAAGATGGAGGGGCCCGATTTAGGCAAGTTGAGTCTCAATACGAATAAGGTGTCTAGACTCGAAATGTCTCATTTGCATCAAATCGATTCGATCTGAAGGTATTTCTTTTATTGTTGAATAAAGCAAAAAAGGGAAAAGAAAAGAAGCGACATGAATGTTATGAGGGGAGGATGAAAAAGATGAATGGGCAAAGGAAGAAGAATTACAAGACATAGTCCAGTTCATAGCGTTGATATCGGTTATGATCATCGTCGTCGATGCGTGGATAATAGGGCACCAAAGAATCTTGATTGCCAATGTAGAGACTATTGTAGATCTTCCAATAAACCTCACGCACCTTGCGAGCTGGATGGAATAGACCTTGCATGGTGTATTGCAAAATAGTGGCAGGTCCTAAGGCAACCCGAATACCTTCAATGGCCTCCATAACAGCATTGATAACGTGTGGACTATGTATAGCAAATAGAGGGTTAGTAAAAGTAATAAAAGAGGGAGAAGAGGGACAACTTACCTCGTCTCGAAAATGTTGGGCCAAATGTAATTGAGCAAGTGGCGTAATGGCTCTTCACATCCCAAACCAACGACACCCAGTGCCATGTGCTTGATAGTTGTACATGCCGTTTGTCTGTGCACCAAATCACGATCCATAAGAGCATCTTCCAACAAGGGAGTAACAGCCATGATATAATCCTTGCCCATCTCACCCACATATTCAAAGATAAAGGACATGGACTTGAGAACACCGTTTTGGACATTGAGCTCAGGGACACGGTATTCGTTCATCAATGCTGGCAATACGGTGAAGGGAGCACACGTTTCGGCGACAATGGCAATAGCAACAGTTGTACACACACGATTTTGACGTTCTTGCACCTTGAGATTGTTGAGCAAAGTAGCCAACACATCCTGTGGACCAATGGCTTTGGCGATGTAACCGAATGTATTCACTGATGCACGACGAATACCCTTCTTGTGAGCCTTGAGCAAATCGAGCAACTCGAAACAAACACGCATCCATTCTCGAGCAGAGACATATTCAGCACCACGATCAGCGATACGACCCACCAAATCAATACAGTTCTCTTGCACCTTTTCATGACGATTGCGAAGAATAGGAGTCAAACGTGGCAATAGATCCTTGATGGGTGGCGTCATGCTGGCCATACCAATCACATTGACAATACTCTTGAGAGCACCCAAAATAGAACCCAACACCTCAGGATACTCTTCACCCAAGTATTCGTACAAGATTTGACCAAGTTGGTTCATGAGCTTTTCTTCACCACATGTCTTCATGACCACGGCAATACGTGAAATCAAATCGGCGGCTTGTTGACGCACACGTGCTGACTTGTTGTTGAGACGCCAAAGAATGGTGTAACAAATTTGCTGCAGGTACGGCTTGATACGCATACCGAGCGCATTCACCACGGTACCAAAACCATTGAGCATGACCACATCCTCGGCTGTTTGTTCTTGGAATGCGTACAAGATACCATCAATCAACAATTCTTCCAAACGAGGATCAATATCAGCAGCACCCAAATTCGAGACAATGTTTTCAATCGTTTCCATAACCATCTTGCGATAGGGCTCGCTCTCATCCTTGAGATCGTTCACGATACGGCTGACAATTTCGGATACGCCCACCTTGTTGGCCAATTCAACGGTCGTTTCCACCAATTGCTTGTAGTTGCGGCGATCCAATGCCATACGACGCACCCAAAAGTGCTTGAAAAACTCGGGTAAGATCTCTTCCTTGATATAGGCAGGCTGTACACCATCTGTGGCAGCACACTGCTTGACGACCTTGAGCACGATCTTTTTCATTTCCTCATCGGGTGACTGGAATTCACGGATCAAGATCACCATGACTTCTTTGGTGTAATAGTTGGCATACTCATCATCCATCAAGGGGATAATGTAGCCAATGGCCTTGAGGAAAGCTGCCAAACCCTTGCCACGATGCTTACGAATACCCGTCCACAATGGCTTGAGCACCGAATCAAAGGATTCAATACCATAAGGAGCAGCTGCTTCAGCCAATGCAGCAATAGCCAAAGCTGTAATGGTGCGCACCTTTTGTTGTTCATCTTCCAAACCATGGGCAATGGCTTCGACCAGATTCTTGAGATGGGGCAATACGGCACAGCCCATAAGGATAGCAATCTGTTGCACAATCTTGATACCCGTGTGTCGTGCCTGCCATGACTTTTTGGATCGACATACAGCCTTAAGGAAAGGTAACAATGCTGGAATACCCAATGCCGATGCCACCACAGAGAATGCACGCGCCGTAGTGTTACGAACATATTCATCAGGATGATCAATATCAGGACGCATGGTGGTAATCATGGTAGGAAGACCAGCTGCCTTGGATACATTGCTGATGATTTCACGACCTTCAACACGAGCATAGTAGTCCTCATCAATAAGCAAGGGTTCAATGACAACGAGGATCTTGTGGACAAAGGGACGCACCAAATCATCCAACTTGTACAAGATACGATCAATGACCTTCACGAGCAAATGACGTTCTTGATCCTCAAGGGTGGGTGACATGAGCAATGGCAAGATTTGGTTGAACAAAGGACCAGGACCGAAATCACGTGCCTTGTCGGTGATTTGTCTGAGAGCTGTCTTACGCATAGGTGGTGTGCCATTCTTGATACGCAAGAGCAATCGCATAATCTTTCGTTCCTTGAGTTCATCCACTGACATTTCCTCTTCATTCCTCTCCTCAAGCAATTTGCCGAAATGTTGCATATCTTCATCCTTGAAAAACGGCAATGCGCCTACACCAGGAATCTCTTGGGGTGCTGTAGCATCCATGACAACACCACGCGCTTCCTCTTGCATGACAAATCCACTCTCTCCCATAGGTGTAGGTGTAGCCATCAACTTGCGTGCAGGTGTGCGGATAGGTTCATAGCCAGCAGGGGGTTCCAAGATCTTGTAACCGGTTTGTGGAAACATGGCATCCAATTCTTCATCTGATAAAGGACGATTACGAACATCCAATTCACGCTCCCATCGCATGGCATTCATGGCCTCAGGTGTTGAAGGCACTGTAGGTGTAGGCGTCATCATGCCAAGACCACCGACAGGCGTGGCTTGAGGCATATCAGTGCTCACAGGTGTGGCATCCCATCGAGAGCGTTTTGTGCCAGCCGATGCTCTTGGTGTTGCATCCCATTCAGATCGCTCCGTAGATACAGGCGTAGCATCCCATCGTGATCGTTTTGCTGGTCCTTTGGGTGTCGCTTCCACATTGGTGTGCATAGGCGTAGCCACATCCCATCGTCGTTTCTTTCTTGGTCCTTCAGCAACAGGTGTCGCTTGCACATCAGCAGCCATCTTATCCGAAGAAGAGCCTGCTTGTGCTTCATCCCGTTTCTTTTGTGCAATGGCTTGGAATACACGTTGCTGTTCCTTTTCCAGTTCGGCTTCACGAATCACTTCAGCGTAACTACGAGACTCCTTGTTGTCTTCTTTGGCGAATGCATCGGCTCGTTCAGGTGATAACATGCGATTGAATCGACGTTGGTGATATTCATCTTGTCGTCCTGCAATACGTTTCTCTCGTGCTGTCTCGGCAAACGGATCGTGGCTGTCAGCACCTTGCACGGCCTCATTGAGAAACTCTTTGGATGCTGTAATCGAATTCAGTTTGCGATTCGTTTCTCGGTAGCGTTCGTCCATATCCTCGTCATCCTCATCACCCACTGGAATCGACGTTGCATAGCCCTCGAATTTGTCTTTGGTGTAAATATCCGTGTCATAGGAAAGCCCTGTCATGCTCGCATGGCTCTCATTCTCCAGTACCGCAGCACTGATATCTTTGTCTGTGATTTCCCTACGCTTGGCTTGGGCTGCCTTGATTTCTTGTTCAATGTCTATCAACGTCAACGTCAGCATGCAAGTAAACAAGTGCCATCGCTCGCGATCTACTTACCATCACCCATATTGGTGTATGTATATATATGTGGTGGGCTGAGTGAGTGTGTGTGTGTGTGAAAAGTAAAGACTGCCAACTCAAGCGACACTTGAACCAAAATACCAGATTTCCAACTCATTGGCTGAGAATGACGGTGTCTCTCATACTTGATCTACTACTCACACTCACACTCCCACTCTCCCCCACTATGCCATGCTGTAGGACCATTTCTTTTATACATTCGAATTAAAGCTATCAGTATCATAGCTCTATACCCTACTTGATATCTATAATACTTTTAAATAAAGATTGTACCATTGTTCTCCATGATCCAAATCAAGCTCATCTATCACACTAATACACATCGTCTTATTATTCGTATATACACATTGTGCTGATCAATGATACCCTTAATGACCATGAGCCTTTAGCCAATGAGCAGCAAAGAGCATTGCATTGTACGAGAACAAGCTATTCCTGCTAATCGTTTATTTGTCAACGAGGTGATGATAGCACGATGATTGATAAATGAAGAATGTGAAGCCTAATCCTACGAATGAACCCTTGGTATCCATATTCTTAAATAGCCTACGAACTTTTGCAAAAGGATAATGGATAAAATGTATGGCACAATAACCTACCTCGTTTAAAAAGAAGGGGTGTGCTTCAAGGCGTCTTGCATCACATGATACGATTGGTGGAGAGCGACACAGCCAAAAACTTTTCCAACCAAGCAACCCGCTCCTGGCAACCCTTTTCTATACTACACACACACACAATGTCCGGTCGTCAAGGTGACTATAGACTGATCAGCGATTTGGTTTCTACATTGCAACTGACCCATTGTCGTAGGAGGAAAGCTCAAGCCACTTAAGCAAAAGAAAAAGAACAACAACGAGCTTGATGAGGTAAGCTTGCTGGCTGATCAGAGAACGCCAATCCACTAACAGGTGGTGTGGTGGGCTATATTAGGATGATCTTGCTTTCAAGAAGAAAAAGGCTGAGGAAGCCAAGAAGCTCAAGGAAATGCAAGCCAAGGCTGCTGGCAAGGGTCCTTTGAGTAAGTCAACGTGTCATAGAAGCAAACAGGTGGATTAATCTCATGTTGATGTGTGTGTATAGTGGGCGGTGGCATCAAGAAGAGCGGCAAGAAATAGACAATCTATCTATCTTCATCATCAGCTAGCCAACACTACTCAAGATAAAGATGACAAGTCTGGAAACTATGATAATGTATTCATGTATGTTGGGAGAAGGATATCGTCATCAATGGGTGTTGATGATATGGAGTGCCGCTTACAATCCCCTGATGCATAGTTACTGTGTGTCTCATGTTCGTTGTATGTGTGTGTATGTATAGCAAGTATTAGGTTTCTTTCTGGTGACATGTGTAACTTGATATCAAAGGCATGTTGTGTGTGTGTGTGTGTGTGGCATGGATCGAGTAAATAGATACGCATAACATCCGTGCATTTTTGCTGTTGACATCAAGGGCAGAGTAATGAACAACATGTTTCAAAAGATGAAACGTTGCTTGCTTGCTCTGCATGTTCAAACAGCAAAGGAGGAGGGGATGCTGATACGTCAAATAAATCAACTTTTTTTCTATACGAGATTGGAATTACAAGTGATGACAACGACGTATATAGATATACTACTTGTGTGAATGACGTGTTGCAGAAGAAGCTAAAGGATACCTGCTGCTGCTGCTGCCACCGCCGCACGATCCAACATGCACGATGAGCGTTTGTTTGTGTATGTGTTGTGTGTGGAGAAGCCGATGTGGAGAATGATAAACTAAGAAAATTGAGAATACAAGTCTTCTTGAAAAGGTCAAATTGACAATGGAAATATAGGTAGGCTTAAAGTTCTTTCCGGTCCCGAGCAAAAGACAACAAACGGTGCGATTGGCCGCCACGATCATCAGCTTGTAGTCTTTTCTATTGCACATCCACCAGGTATATATAAGAGCACGAATAGACTATACAAGATAAGATAAGATTCGTTCTATGTTGTGTGTGTGAATATCTCTCCTCCACATTCAATTGCCATTTTTACCTCATACTATGCACGTCCAACTCGCCTGTAACAACAACGAAAACTCGGCCTGCTCCTATTGTGGTAGCCAAGGACACATCGCCTGGAACTGCCCAAAACGATACCTCCCACGCTAATAATGATGGGTTCTTTTACCGACCGCCTATTATCATCAAGCAAATACATCAAGAAACATCTTCAAGAAGAATAGTCCCCTAATCAAGTTTAAACCCCACCATCACCACCATGACCCTTATGATGTAGGATGATCCATCGCATAATAAAAGATAATAAGGTAGAACGGTCACGAATACGTCGATCGGTCTGTGTCACCACACACACATCATGGGAAGAATGGAAAGTATCAAAGTGTGCCTCGCCTCACAGACAAGTGCTACATTTGCTGTGAACATGCTATGACATAGCTAGCTATCTTATTGTAGAGTGAGTGTGTGTGAGAGAGAGAGAGATAGCAAAAGTGCTTCTTGCTGTTACTAAAGGGGTCCAGAATTCTCAATGGCTACTACCTCTTTGTATGAATCACACAATGGAACAATTCACCATCTCTGATATGGTATAGGTGCTTTATATTTACGATGGATGTGTTAGCGCTTACATCCCCGGCGATAGTATCCGATCACAGCTCTGTTTCAATCCCTTGTCAAAAACAAAAAGTAATTATAACATGTTGCCAAAACAGGTAACTGGATTACTTTTTCAATGATGATTGTTATTGTTATTATGTGTGTGAGTATGTGGAAACGCACCTGATTAGAAAAAGGACGTCTTTGTATTATCATTATCATCGATGCATGTATGTGCATGTCACACGAGGAAAGCTGCAAGCATTGATGAATGGTAATCAGCCGACATTTTATTTGGTGAGTGATTGTGTGGGCCTATTGTCGCGAAATGAAAATAGAAATGGGTTGGATGATAAAGCGATATATTAAGCTATTTCTGGATTGGGAGGAGTGGGGCACTGTTGTAGACCAACAAGGACCCCATCACCACCACATGGCAAAAAGTCAGCCATCGGCGTTTATTGTGTGTGTGTGTGTTGGTGCTGATTGTTTGAGAGAGAGAACAAAGACATCAATACAATGGTTGATTATGAGGAGGAGGAGGAAGAAGAGAAAGAGAATGCCTTTTTTAAACAAACATGCATTATTGTTACCCCTGAACTGGGTTAAAGGAGCCCATCAAAAAGTGCGCGGTATACAAAGAAGCGCAGTGAGGTGTGTAGTATGTCTTTGAAACAGGCCCTGAGTAAAAAGTGACTAGTAAGCGATGAGATAATGGGCCAGGTTTTAGAAAAGAAACGGGGGATGAAAGGGAGGATGATCTTCCAGGGACGGGCCTTATTGGCGAGTGTTCAGGGGGTTAAAGATGATGAAGAAGAGTAACTACCTCCAGTGTCACCTGCGTTATTTTGGTCGTTTATTATCCTTTTTCTCACATTCCCTTCCTTTTTTCCCTCTTTTTTTTCCCTTCTTCTTTGTCATGTCCCCTCCTTCAGTTCCTTTATCAAACATCCTACAGCGATCGAGAATGGTGCTCACCAAACTCAACGCCAACAAGGAAACCAACACCAACTTACCACAACCCTCCACCAGTCGAAGCGCAATGACCACCACCACAACTCCCCATCCCCATGACGACAAGAACGATGAACGACCTGCATTACCTTCTCGGTCAACCACAACAGCCACGCCATCGACTCCCTTGTGCACCACCAACACTAAGCACCACAATTACAGCCATTCAGCACGTCTCATTTTCAAATTGGCCAACAACCATCTCTTTGGTCGACGAGGCTATCCAAAGGCACCCAGTTTGGCTATCACTTATTTACGACGAGCCGCCGCATTGGGTCACGCACAAGCTGAAGGTGTGCTTGGATTTTGCTACGAATTTGGACTCGGCATAGAAATGGATTTTGTACGATCCGAACAGCATTATTTGGATGCAGCTCGACAACAAGACGGCCTTGCAATGGCTCGTTTAGCCTTTTTACGTAAATACGGACGACCTCATGTGCGTATTGATCGAGCCGAAGCTGAGGAATGGGCTGAGCGAGTGCGACGTATCGCACCTAGTAATCCTGTTGCTTGGATTGTGGAAGGAGCCACTTTAGACAATGATGCGGCGTGTCAATATGCGCTTGGTGTTTGTTATCATGACGGCGTTGGCATGCCCAAAGATGAACATGCGGCTTTTCGTTGGTACAAGGCAAGTGCTGAACAAGGCAATCCACGTGGTCAAGGTATCCTTGGTTACTGCTATGGCGAAGGCTTTGGTGTTCCCAAGGATGATGCCGAAGCAATGCGTTGGTATCGCTTAGCAGCTGCTCAAGGTGAAACGGTGGCCATTTACAATGTCGGTTATTGTTATGAAGATGGCATTGGTGTAGCCAAGGATGTCCATGAAGCTGTAAAGTGGTATCGATTGTCGGCTGAACAAGGCAACGCATTTGCACAAAATTCACTTGGCTACTGCTACGAGGATGGCATTGGCGTCAAACAAGATTTACATCAAGCAGCCGTTTGGTACCAACGTTCGGCTGAACAAGGCTATCCATGGGCTGAATGCAACCTTGGTTACTGCTATCAAAACGGCATTGGTGTCCCCAAGGATGATACCCGTGGTGCTCATTGGTATCGCAAAGCGGCTATCCAAGGTCATGCAAGAGCACAACACAATCTTGGTTTTTGTTATCAAAACGGCATTGGTGTCGAACGCAGTGAACAAGAAGCCGTGAAATGGTATCGACGATCAGCTGAACGAGGCAACATTTTTGCATACCATTCGCTTGGCTATTGCTATCAAAACGGCATTGGTGTCACCGTCAATGAACAAGAAGCCGTGTTTTGGTATTACTTGTCAGCAGAGGAAAATCATGCACCAGCACAATTATCACTCGGCTATTGTTATCGTAACGGCATTGGTGTACCAAAGAATGAACGCGAAGCTGTGAAATGGTTCCGTCGATCGGCTGAACAAGGCAATGCATTGGCACAAAACTCGCTTGGATTCTGTTACGAAGAAGGACTCGGTGTCAAAAAGGATTGTTCTCGTGCTGTTTATTGGTATCACAAATCTGCACGTCAACGAAATCCTTGGGCACAATGCAATCTCGGCTTTTGTTATGCCAATGGTATCGGTGTCGACAAGGATGATCGTAAAGCTGTCTATTGGTATCAACATGCTGCTCAACAAAACCATGCACGTGCTCTCGATAAGTTGGGTGTCCATCTTCAAACGGGCGCAGGCATTGAACGTGATTTACCAGCTGCTTTTGAGATATTCAAGCGAGCAGCAGAACAAGATCATGTGGCTGCACAATATCATCTTGGCAATTGTTATGAAAAGGGTCTTGGATGCACAGTTGATCTACATCAGGCTGCTTTATGGTTTGAACGTGCTGCTATGGGTAAGTCCACTCTTCGCCATTGCTATATGAACAACAAAACAAATGACTCATATGATTTCTATTTATTAGCTGGATGTCGAAACTCCAATGAACGATTACGACGGTTATTATTCCGAGTTTGCATGTGGTCACCAGGCACATCACCTTTAACCATGAACGAAGACGATCTTATTTGTTCTGGATTCATTAGTGGACATAGTGCGCCGGCCGCATAATAGTCATAAAGTCCCTTCTTATTACATCTATTCATCTCTCTTTTTTGTTTACCCCCAGCACATAGCATCCGCCAGCATATCACTCTTCTTAGTACAAACACACACACACACACACACAATCACAATCACACTCACACTCACCTCACACACGCCAAAATTAACTAGCCTTTCATGTGCAACCGAGCTCCCTTCAAATACATCTTCTCTTTCCGTTTTCGTCTAAAATGAGCTTACCACTCTTCTTTCCCACTTTTTTCAAAGCATGATACAACATGATAATAATGATACTTATACCACTCCTTTGAGTACATGGTCATCAACAACAGACCCAACTACCACCACCACCGCCAACAAACCATTCTCTCCTCATTCTATTGAACCTATTCCTCGACTTTCTGTGAGCAGCAGCACCACCACAAGTTCAGCTGAAAGCACAATCTCGTCAACCAACAATGACGATCCTGAACAACCCCCTTCCAAACGACAACTCATTGCAGGCCATGTACGATCGTTGAGCATTGCCCTCTTTCGCTTCCTTTTAAAAAACAACAATTGGGCCCTTGTCGTCAATCTCTTGCACCATTTATGGGGCGCACGCAAACTGGTCATTAAGAAAGCACCTCAGGCACAACGACTAGGAGGCTCTGTTGCCAAGGACGCACTTCGTGTCATTGCTACCATGCACCTTGCTTTTGCCACCCTGACAGGCCTGGCTCTTAGACACAAACGAGTCTCCACAGACCGATCCACGTTATTAGTATTGGCTCTCGTTGCTCTTGGTCAAGCATGGACTTATACACGATCGTTTTGGCAATCAGGCACAACGCTGACAGTAAAGGCATTACGACGATCCGGTCTCCTCGATACCTTTGTTTTTGCCGTATCCAGTTTAGCTTTTTCAAAGACACTAAGACGATCAGGTCGTTTGTTTTAATCCCATCCATTCATTTTACTATAGCACTCTTTTGTATACCAAATATATCATTGAACTATTATAAAGCATGCTCCTATCTATGGATGAATACGTGTGGGTGGTAAAATGATAAAAAAGCAGGGTCTTGTGCTCACCATCATCCTCATTTTCATGTGCTTTTTCGGAGTGTGTTTGCTGCCATGCGCCCCTCTGCCCCTTCGGAGAATGGGTACAATTGCACACTTTGCATTGAAATTACACTCCCCACACCTTCCCAAATGCTTTTATACTTGTGGCATTGCACTCTACATGGACAAAGCTATACATAGACATCAAACAATGTACACTTTGAAGCGTGTTCTCTATATGGAAATTTTGTCGTCTATCATGTATCAAGCAGTTTCGCTGACATGATACGTGTGATATGCGAGACGTGGTGTAATAATACGAAAAGAATGCGAAAGGGGGATTCTTATAGCTCGGTAGTCAAATGAACCCAAAGATCAAATAAATGTATAATAATGTGCTCCTGTATCGTTCTGACCACGTCGTTCTGATAACCAGGCAACCACAAAATTAGAGGAAGAAAATGATAATCATCAAAAATTTATTTAGACGTCCCTTTTACTGGCAAGGGATCAGCCACAACAACAATGTCTCATTCTAATAAAGAGGATTGGCCATGTCGTAGTTGTAAAGAGATGAAGGGTGCCGCTAAGGGTCCGCAGGCTACCACTTCACTCCGACCAATCACTCACTTCTTCAACTTCAACTCCAAATTGCTCCACAACGATCCTCCCAAACAAGATGGCGTCTTCAATAATGGTATCCATGGCTACTCCGCTACACCATGATACTTCTTTCATCACCATACGACGACTTTCCAAACCAGGCAGGCCACCAGTACTTATACCACCACGCGCCGTGTCACTCCTCCCTCCTTAAGCCCTGCATGGTTTGGTATTGCTTGCATGTCTTGATCAATAAGCGTTTCGGCGAGCCACCCAAGCACGAAACTGCTGGTCTGCCTTCTGAATCATTACATCGGGGATCATACTCGTTCTTGCAACCCATGGAACCAGGTTGTCACCATGAACAGCACCCTTCAACCTCTGCTTGTTTGGACCATGTAAGTAATAAGTTCCACCAGCGTTCGCCTTAACAATAGTCATCGGGCCAATCCACTTGTCATCCAATTTCCCAGCAGGCCGTTGGTCACGCATAAGCACCATGTCACCAGCAATAAACCTTGGTCTTTCATGTACTTGTGCATCGTATCTCATCTTAGCCTTCCTTTGCTGTTCCTTGGTTCGCTCACGTGCTTCAATCCTTGCTTGATCAACCAAATGCTGGATCACCTTAATTCTACTTGCCACTTCCAAATGCAATTCTCCTTCAACAAAATCCTCTCGTGGAGCAGGCCAAATAGCGGGTGTCCTCAATTCATAACCGTACAAAAGCACCGCTGGACTATACTTCGTGGATTCATTCACCATTGTTCTTGCTGCCAATAAAGCCGAGGTCACATACTTGTCCCATTGATGGATATCCTCATGATCACGTGCAATCTTCGCCAATGCTGATGTGATAGTGCCATTCATCCTCTCACATAAACCGTTCACCTGTGGCCGATACGCTGTCGTAGTAATATGCCGGCAATCCATCTTCCTTAAAAACTCGCGCACATAACCCGAAGTGAAATTACTGCCACGATCTGTCAGGATATAGTTTGGCACGCCATAATTCACCACCACCTGCTCATAGAGAAAATCCGCCGTTGTGGTCTCCGTGATATCTGGCACTGCCTTAGCTACGGGCCAACGTGTAAGATAATCGATAGCCACCAAAATGTACCGATTTCCTTGGTTTGTAGGTTCCTTGCCAAAAGGTCCAATCGCATCGCAACCAATCATAAAGAATGGCCTCTCTGGAGTCTCGATGGGTCTTGCTTTTTCGGTTCGCACCACTCCTCTTCTTTGTCGGTATTGGCATGTCTCACAACTTTTCACCCAATCTCGTACTCGTTCAAAAAGTTGGTAGCCTTCATAGCGAAGTCGCAACCTCCTCCAAGTGTTGTTGATTCAAGATGACCCTCCTCGTGAACCCGCCTGATAACATCATCTGCATTACCCTCATGCAATACTTCCAATCCCCGACTGCCATCACGCTGCTTCTTAAACAATTTGCCATCTTCCGCCAAATACATTCGAGCTGTATTCCTTAGTTTCTTCTTGTAATCATGGTCGCAATCCAAAGGGAAGCGATTTTCAGTCAAAAGATAGTATAGTGCCAAATAACGTGGATAGTCCATTTTGAACGATCTTGCGGTAAAACGTGCTTGATACGATAACTTGATGTGATAACCTTGATACGATAACTTGATGTGATAACTTGATGTGATAGAACTTGATGTGATAACTTGATGTGATAAAACTTGATGTGATAACTTGATGTGATAAAACTTGATGTGAATGTGATGTGATACAATGATAGTGATACAACATGAAATGCCCAGACACACGTCATCGTGTTCTTCCATAACCCACACTCCCTTTTTTTTTGCTTTTGTCCTTTTGCTCTTTTTTTTGTATTCCTTTTTTTCACTGCCTTTTCACTTTTTTTTGATATACTTTTTTCACTGCCTTTTCAACTTTTTTTTGTATGCTTTTCTCTTTTGCCTTCAACGTTCTCATTCCTCTTCTCCGCCACTCCATTCCTTCCCAACCTCTTCCTCCAATTCCTCACCCTTCGTCGAAATCAACCGCGACAACGCGTCAGCTGGATTAGCTCTCCCAGGTCGATAACGCGCCACAAACTGATACTCCATCAAACTGGAAGCCCAACGAGTCAACTTGACGGATGGTCGTGATTGTTGGAACACAAAGGGTAACGCGGCATGATCGGTGTATAGTATAAAGCGACGACCACTCAAGAAGTGCCTGTAGTATTCGACAGCCCAAACCACAGCAAGTGCTTCCAAATGAGTAGCGGCATAGTTGTTCTCGGATCCACGCAACGACCTTGAAGCATACGCAATGACTCGTTCCTCCTTGGCGTCTCCAGTTGGTGATTGCGACAATACAGCACCCAACCCACGAGTAGATGCGTCAGTGGTTAGGATTTGGACTTGGTTACGATCAGGGTAAGCGAGAACAGGGGGTGAGATCAGAGCCTTCTTGAGAGCATCGAATGCTGATTGTTGTTCCTCATCCCATGTAAACGCTGTATCCTTCTTGAGGAGCTTTGTCAATGGCTTGGCTATTTGCGCATACCCCTTGATGTGCCTTCTGTAATATCCTGTTGTGCCCAGCCAAACCTTGACCTCCTTTGCAGACTTGGGCTCCGGCATGTTCAATATCTTCTCTGTGTTCCTTTGATTTGGCAGCAATCCTTCACTCGATATCACATGTCCCAAGTATTCCACTTGCTTACGCCCAAAGACACACTTCGACTTCTTCAACCTCAAATTGGCAGCTTGACATGCTTGAAACACCTTCGCCAAATGGACCCTGTGCTCTTCCAAACTCTTGCTGAATATGATAATGTCGTCTATGAAGACATAAACGAAGTCCTCAATGTATGGAGCCAAGATGTTCGTCACCGCACGTTGAAAGGTCTGAGGAGCAGAGCATAATCCAAATGGCATGGCTTCCCAAGTGTAAGTGCCCCACTTTGTTGTGAATCCTGATTTGGGTATTGAATCCCTTGCTAACGGTATCTGCCAATAGCCGGACGCAGCATCAAGTGTGGAAAAATAATGTGCACCGCCAACAGAATCCAATAACTCGTCGATGTTCGGTAATGGGAAGGCGTCTTTGATAGTAATGTCATTCAGCTTACGATAATCCACGCATAGTCGCAATGTGCCATCCTTCTTTTTGACGAAAAGGATTGGTGAAGTCCACTTGCCGTCCGATGGTTTTATAAGGCCAAGCTCCAACAATTTATCCAACTCGTCACGTAAGTGGTCTTGTTCTTCCCATGACAGCCGATACGGTGAGGTACGGATAGGCTTCTCAGTGGTGGTGGGGATGGTATGTTCGACACCATGAACACGACCAAGACCACTAACCTCCACAAAACAACAGGCATATGAATCTACCACCTCCTTGATCACCTGTGGCATGTCCAATTCACCTTCTCCATTGCTATCCAAGACTTCATCAACGTATCGGTTCAGCAGCTGCGTATCCTTTGTCGCCTCCTCCCTCCTTAGATCCAAAGTTCCACCTTTGTGATCACCATCCATGTCCAGCATGCTTGATGATTGGGAACCAGAAACGCTCACAGCCAACACAACATTGTCATGTTCGTTCTCGGATCTTGGATATCGGCCTTGCAATAATACGGTGCCTTTACCATGACCAGTGGGAATGTGTATCGTGCCTGTTTGATGGTCAACTCTCACGCCATATTGTCGATGCCATGAGGTGCCCAACAAACACACATCTCCCTTGACATCTTGTATGGTCATGTGTTCCGGTCGTAACTTGCCAGCTGCCCTTACAGGTACCGCCACAGAGACACCACCAGCAGGTAAGGCATTGTCACCAAACGCCTCGACCACCAATTGATCACCATTAGTCTTCAAGCCAACCTTCTCCGCAAGATTCTTACTGATCACCGAGACACCAGCACCCGAATCAAATACAGCTTGTACCAAATGACCATGAATAGTGATAGGAGCTTGTAATGGTGCGCTCTCTTTCATCTTATCCAGGTTATAAGGGTACTCATACTGTGTATCATCCGACTCGTAGCCAACATCGTCACCATCCACCATAGCAAAGTCATCCGAGCCAACTTCACTGCTATCAGACCTGAAAGTGCCTTCATCATCATCAGAGTAAGCCCATTCGTCTGAAGAGTCCGTCAAATCATGCTCATGAAGATCAACGTAGTTCACGGGTACACTTGTTGATGGTAGTTGCCTTTGAATGGAATCACCCACTCTCACTCCTCTTGGCTTACGACCATGCCAATGACGAATGCCATCTTGCACATCTTTGGCAGCATGCTTTGACAATGACAACCAATCAGCCATAGACAACCCCGCATCAACGTGCTTTAACCGCTCCCAAACATCTTTCTCAGGCAAGGTGACGACCAACTTGCGCACATGACGTTTCTTCTTTGGCTTCTTCTCTTCAGCTGGCACCTTCTGATCCACTTCCATCGCCTGTGTATGTTGTGCCGCCTGCACGTGACCATCACCAGAGACACCAAACGCACCATTCATTCCTTGATTGACATTGCCGCCATCATTCGCACCGCCACCATTCGCACCACCAGTATCCACACGACCCTTCTTCTTGGCAACTGCAGCAGCTGCCACAGCACTTCCATTTTCAGACACTTGTTGCCGGCCACGTTTTTGGGCATAAACCTTGACACCATGCAACAAATTCACACCAGCCTTGTGATCAGGAGGATTTACTTGTTCTTGGGTACCACCAACCTCCTTTAGTGGCACCCATTGGCTTTTCCCTGTTCCGATGCTTGAATGGGGTTTGGACATTGATCACGCTTATGCCCTTCTTCACCACAGCCCCAGCAACGCAACACACGAGATCTACGCACATCCACCATATTGATCTTGAGAGCTTGAATCTCGTTGGCCAAGGCACTGATTTGAGAAGATAAATTGCCACTTTGTACAGCATTGGCACTTGCACTTTCAGAAGGAGTAATATCGGATCCAGCATGACCTCTCACCACCGTAGACGATGACGCTCCAATAGTACTTGCACCAGCACGGCCATACTTATTTTGCACCACCTCCAACTTTCGAGCTTCTTGTACCACATCTTCGTACTTGCCCAATGCTGCACGTTGCTCCAATTCATACGAAATGCCTTCTCTCAATGCCTTCAACAAATGACGTATACGAATACTATCATCGCTGACATCCAGCAACTCAAAGTACTCTTTCAAATCATTGGCAACTTCATCCACGGTTTCACCAGTCATTTGCTTTCTACTTTCCACCTTGTTCCACCAAATGTGGTGCTTGTCCTTGCCAGCAAATCTTGTGCGAAACATCTCCTCAAATTGAGCCCATGTAGCAACCTTGTCTTCAACCATCTCCCACCACGATTCAGCAGCACCAGTAAGGTAAGATCCCGCCATCGTCAAACATTGTTGATCTCCCATAGGTACACCTTTACGAATGCGATTGATACGCTTCAACCACCGCAACGGATTCTCTTCATCGTCACCCTTGAAATGTTTTGGCTTGGCCAAGAACTTGCTCAATGATGCTTCCGGTTTAAAGGTAGGATAGCTCGTTACACCAGTGTCCTTGTCTTGAGGCATGATCACAAATAAAGATAATAAATTTAAGGGCTTGCAAACTTGTTAAAGTAATTGTTGTCTGCGCGGCTTCTCCACCAAAATGATACGTGTGATATGCGAGACGTGGTGTAATAATACGAAAAGAATGCGAAAGGGGGATTCTTATAGCTCGGTAGTCAAATGAACCCAAAGATCAAATAAATGTATAATAATGTGCTCCTGTATC